CCAGATGTATCAAAACTCAGCTGAACGTGGAAATGTGCACAGCCCCACTTCAACTCCAGGGCTGGCGTACGCACGTTTCTGTGGTTCTTGTTCCATTGGCGACTCTTAGAGGTGATTCTGAGAAACTGTTCATGATGTGAAAATGATTATTGTTCACACCACGATAAACAATTATTACATCCACATGGACGCAGTTAAATAAAGGACGTGCAAAGTTGTGCCAAAAATACATTTAACAGGAATGGATTCAGCCTCACTGGAGGATATAATAAATAGCGTAACACGCAGAGCTTTTATTTACAAACAGATAGAATTTCCTGATGACAAGTGGCTCATCAGCCGTTTTGAGGAAAAATCATTTTTCAGTTTGGCACCGCTGCGCTCCGGAGCGAGTAGACACGTGCGCCACACGTGCACGTGCAGCAGCAGCAATTGAACTGAGGTTCCACAGGAGCTTTCCAGAGGGAACTGGCAGACCCATCAGGACTGTGTCAGTCCAGTCCACCCAAAGCTGAGTCATGACCAACGGAACCCTCTCATCCATATGATTCTAAAGGCTGAGTTATGGTCGCGGTCGAGCGTGCGCACTCGCTGGCAGTGGAGATGTTTCATACTTTGCATTTACGTTGTTGTAGATTTCTCCAAAATGACACGTGGAAGTACACTTTACAACTTGTGAAAATGCTGTAAGCAGGAGAGCAAAAGCTTCACAGACAGACTGCGCACCAAGGCTGTGGAGCGTTTGTGTGGACTCTCCAACATCACGTCACGTCATGAACTCTACTGAGACGCAGAGACTCGTTTCTTCATATCAGCTATGAAATAAACTCTATGTTCTACCAAACATTTAAGTTCCTCTGTGTTTACAGGAATTATGGTAATAAACTCGTGCGCAAAGTTAATATTTTCAGACTCAGAATGGATGGATGAGCCGCTTGGGCAACACAGCAGCGTGCACACACACACACACAAACACACAATCACTCGTTCTTTGCTTGATAAACATATTTTATTCCTATTTTTACTTAGGATTTTTTTCTCACACATTATATTAAATTCATTATTTTTATGACATTAGAAATCATTTCTGATCGCGCAGGGATCAAACAAACGTGTCCTTCACACATGCAGGAAGTAATTTGCATCTGTTTAACACATGTTAATGAAGGCGTGTCAGGGGAGGTATCTTACCTGCGCTCAGTTCCACGTTAACTGTGATGTACAAAAGCAATGTGCGTGGATTCAGGCGTACGCACAGTTTGATACATCTGGATTTTTTTGTGCGTACTCCGTTTTCTGGATTTGACCGTACGTCAGGTTTCAGTAAGAAATCCATGCAAGTCTTTGTACATGAGGCCCCTGGTCCTTCATTATATTCAGGTCACTTCATTCTTTGAGCACAAACTGTTGCTGAACCTAGACCTGACCAACTGCAGTAACCCCACATCATAGACCTTAGTTAAAGCCAGGTGGAGACTGTTTTTTGGCTAGGCAGTGTATGTTGAACAAACTATCCAGAGTGAAGGCGAAGCCTAGATTTATTTTCTCAGAGACAAACTGTGCCCCCTGCCGTGACTTGTCCAGTCGGGTTCATTGTCTCAAGCTGAACAGCTGCAAAGCTGCGAGCCTCTTCAGACGCCCGACTTTTGTCATCTTGAACTTTCCCGCTCGTYGCACGCTGGCGGCACTAATTTCAATTAATTCCATTCAGACAGAAAGTCATTAATAATCTCGGGATCACTTGTGTTTGTCCTGTGACGACGACCCAGGCTGCCTATCTCTGGAGAAAAGGCTCTTGTGCAGCGAAGCCATGCTTGTGGCTACAATTTACACCTTCTCTCAAATCACAGTTATTACCCCAGCAGAAGTGTAGCTCTCTCCTCATGAAGATATTATCCACAAGAGCAACAGAAACACTTATCGGTGCTGTACGTACGTCTGGAGCAAAAATGTGAACCACAGATTGGATGGAAAGCTGCTCGTTTTGATTTAATGTGAACAAACAGGATGCAAGACTTAAATTAACTGCATCAAACTTGTTTAATTGGCCCCCGTCGTGGAGCAAAGAGAACAAAAAATATCCTTCTGTCTGTCTTGTGAGCTGAAAAATAAGTCAAGTATCGATTCCATTTTACTGTGTGGCTGAATATAGGCACTTGAAAGGTCCTTGCTTGAAAATTGAGTTGCCTTGTTAAAACTCAAAATGGCCACTGCCATATACTCTATTTATGTGTGTATAATTCAATTTTAAGCATAATGTGACCCCCCCCCCCCCGTTTTTTAACATAAAAAGCAAATAAAATAAGATCTAATTCTCATGTGTAATGCTTCCCATACAGATTTAAGATTTTTTTAGCCTTTATGGTGTACATTTTGGGGAAACCTGCTTTTGCTCAAGAGCGTTTGAGTCTAATGTTCGTAGTGGTTAATGCGGAGCAGCGTGTCACTGAGAATGATCCATTCCAGCAGAAGCCGATTGTTAAACTGRCAAGAACASCTCATCTGGTCCTGTTGAGCATGCAAACRTGCAACTGACGTCCACGTTGCCTTTCCATCCTCATGATTTACAAAAGAGAGTTTTTCCTCCAACAACACGAGCCTCTTCAAACGTTTGATACATCAAGTGGAAAAACGACTATCTATCCTGCTGTTGTTGTTTATATACTCTGTTATGCACGAGGTATTCTACAGCTGGAGGGCAGAGGGAGAAATTACGTTTTATTATCCGCGACACATTTCAGTAATACTGTATGTGAAGAAATACAGAAATTTGTGGTAGTATATGAGCAAATAATCTGTCAAAACTTATGTGTTTTGCGATCCTCCCCAACTTTATGGATGCATACATTTTTGCATTATATATGCATAAATACGATATGTAAACCTTTTGAGTTGGATAATKGGAAAAATGAGCAACAGTCCAGCCTCCATTTTGGTGCGTATCTGTATTTAGGCATAAGAAAGTTCATTATCACATTGGGTTGAGATGTCAAAATCCAAGATGGCCACCACTATAGGATAAATATAAACTGGCYATTTGAATGAACTGTGCTTTCTTTTTTTATATACTTTAAAAATATAGTTTCTTCAAATGATTGGGGTGTCTTGGGTGGGCAAACATTAATCTATGATAGCCATGGCCAGAATTGTCCACCATTAGCAACTTCCTGGCTCTGCCATTACACCTAGTCATCTTGAAAACAAACTATTCATTATTCAGACCCTGCAGCGATGGGAAGCATTAATGTTTTAACTTGTTTTAACGCCATAGAGACACCTCCATTAWAATCTCTGTTAAGATTGAATTTGATTATCCAGAGAGGTTACAAAAATAGTAATTATTACCTTAGTTATTCATATTCTTAAAGGACAAAAGGAAATTTCTGTACTTTGTTAGAGTGAAGGTAGTTTTTGTTGTTTTTGCAGTTTCAAATATAAATTGCCTGAAATTTAGGTGTTTTTATTTATTAAAGAAGGGACAGTGCATATTACAGAACATGCCAGAATTAGCCATGAAGGCTAGTTTTCATCTGTAGTCCCTCAGGGTCCCWTAGATATAAATACAAATAAACAAGATTCTTTCATTAAAAGTTGACTAAAACATAACAAGCAACATGACTAAAATAATAAAATGCCATTTAGCACAACAATATCAATTCAAAGCAATACATTAAAATGCAGAATGGATTAAAAAAATCCCATATTCAGTATCTACACAATTGATTATCCAGGATCCATGATTTTAAGGTTTTAGAAAATAATTTGAAGGATCCATAGGTTCTTATGCTTTCTGGTATTTTATTCCAGTCAAGTGAAGCTTTTACAGAAAAAGAGTTCTGACCACATGTACTATGTCAAAGAGGTACAACAAGATCTCTTCTTACAATAGCTGTGATGGTCCTTACTGACAACGACGTGACAAGTGCTTCAAGTGGAGGAGGTGCAAGACCATGCAAAATTTTACAAACCAGACAAATATTTACAAATATGATCATATTTTCCCAACTTAACAAATGCTGTTTTGTCAAAATCTTGCAATGATGATATCTTACGGGCTTTTTATCAAAGATTTKTATCTGTTTATAAAGTATCTCCACAGGCTTTAAGGTTGATGAGTTTGCTTGTCCCCAACTTGTTAAACAATAAGTGGTGTGAGAAAAAAAATCAACTGATTAAGGTTTTTACGAAACCCAATATTTTTATTTTTATTTTTTGGTGCCTAAAGATGAATTTACCTCTTACAAACAATACATGTATTAAAACATTACAAGATTAAAAACAGATAACTTTAACTGCTCTATTTGTGTCATGCTTTTCTTTTGATTTCCAATGTCACTTAAAATAAATAAATGCAGCTCTGCAACGAAGGGTCTAAGTTAATCATAGCAACACTGTTCTCTCCACAAATGTGCCTCCTTCTAAATCAATTTAGCATTTTTGGGATGTTAGTTGCAAATTATTAAATTATAATTATAGCATTTGTCTTTTTTGGGTACACGAGCTTAAACCAAAATGTTAGTTTTTAAAGAGCTAAATTGGAATTGGCAGAAGTCATTACACTTTACTTTTTTTACTTTTCTATCAACTTYTATTATAGTCTGGCTTTTATCTAAACAACAAATCCTGTTTAGATGATGAGACACACTACAGTTCTGCTATATTTTAAGCTTTTATTAATGTCACACTGGATACTGACGTCTCTGAACTACAAACACTTTACTTAGACCCCAATCCTGGTTCTCGATGGCCACGTACCTGCATGTTTTAGATGTTCCTCTGCTTTGTCACCGCTGATTTAAGTTCTGCAGAACTTTAAGACCTGCCAAAGAKCAGGAAAACAACTAAAACATTTTGAATGGTGTCCCTCAAGGATTTGGATTGGGCTCCTCTGACTTGCAAACAATATAACYGTGCAGACACAATGCAAGACATATTTTATAAAACCCTTTTCAGCGTCGTTTAAAAAAACAAGTTCTTACAGCCTATCTTTTGGTTTTTAGGTTCTCTGTGTTTGCCAGCATCTCCCTTCTGACTTTGCGATGAGAATGTCCGATATCGCGGACACTGCAACAATGAAGGTTTCTGAGGCCGCCGACACGGTGTCATCTGCGAAAGACAACGCTACCAAGTCTGAGGCCTGTGACCAGAGCCAGAGCAGCAGAGAGGAGCACGGCAGTAGCAACATGAAGGAYATACAGGTAAAGAATGAAGTTCAGTGAGACCTCCATCACACGACCGGAGTTTTGTAGACAAGAAGAAATGATTGAGCTCCGATTTTGAAAGCAGGTGTCTCTTTGAAAAGAGCCTCCCAAGCAGCCCGGCTCAGCTCCACGCCTGCCGAGGCCACATGACAGCCTCGCCAAACATCTTGACTACTCCTCCGTGCTCATTTCCATGAAAACTCAGTAAATGTCAACGTCAGACACTCGCTGCCCCAGGGATCTCCTGTCACCTGCGGCATTCAAAATGATTTTTTTAATGCCAGCAGCCTCGGCAAGAAAACTGTTTTTGAAAATTGTAATCTGCACAGTCTGAATTAATAATGAGGACCTTGACTGTCTTCAGTTCTRAGGTTAGTTGGAGCGATGTTCATTGCTAAGAATCCTTCAGAAAGATCAGATCCTGGAGTGGTGATCTGTTGGGAATTCAGGACAGCTGAGATCCCTTTCAGTGAAACTGCTAATTAATTAGGTGTATGTCTGGAACGCTGTGCTTTGGGATTTTGTGAAATTTGTACTTGTTAATTTGGTTTCCCAAATTAAAACGGGTGCTGGCTGGTTTGTACTCACAAAGGAATGAACAATCAATCTCAAGAACAGCGAAACGATCTAAACTCACCCCACCCGCAACTATGTTTGGTCTTAGAACCAAAACCTGGGAAAGGAAAAATGTGATTGCCTCTTTGGATGCTGCTTAAAAATAGGATCCGGGCCAATTTGGCCTCTGGTCAGAAGCAGAGTGAGAGAGGGAGTCAGGCAGGCAGATAATCGGGGCTCAAGTCCTGGCTTATCTACCAACTTCCTGCATCAATGTTGCCCTGAGAAACAGAATGACACCAGCATGGGGGGAGCAGCAGGAGATGGAGGCGGTGGAGAGGAGGCAGATGGGCTGAGAGGTTGTAAGGAGGAAAGATTGAAGAAGAAAAGAAGCATGAAATGTTGAAGTGTGTTTTTAGAAAGAGCATCTTTATTAAATTAGGAGATGATTTTACTTTATTATAAAATATGTGTGTGCATACATACATACATACATACATACATACATACATACATACATACATACATACATACTGTTCAGAATACCAGACATTTATTGAAGGAATAGCTTTGCAATTATTTAGCATCATTATTAGCTGCAGAGCTAAAATAAATAAATGTTGCTAATGATATAGCATTGGCTCWAAAGCTAATATAGTGTTACYTCCAGAGCTAATGCATATGGAATTAGCTCAAGAGTAAGTATATAAAATGTTAGCTTTTGAGCTAAAATATCTTTTGTTAGTGCTAATATACAGGATTAATATATATTGTGTTAGCAATGTTTTTGGAGTTAGCTCTAGAGCTATTATATATAGCATTAGAACTGATAGAAAAAAATCAAATATTCAAGGATGAAAGTAATGTCATCTGCAAAGAAAGATGCTTTTAAACCACAKGTTTGTTTCTGTAATTTTGCTTTGCTTGTCACAAATTCTCAAATTGTAGTTTCTTTTTAAACAACCTTATGTTAAAGTTAAGGAGGCTTTCATAAGGTGGAACATGGGAAAGTGGGTCCGGGGGTTAATGTCACCTTTACAAAATGTAGGTTACTTCTCGCTCTAATCGTTTTTATAAGAATCACCCTGGCATAATTATTTTAAGGTCCCAGAAATGCCAACTAGCGCTGACGGCACACTCTCCTCCAACCTTTTGGGGCTGATTTTCAACAGAAGTGRTAAAACTGTGTTGACTAAATGCCTTGAACGTTTCCTCTTGGAGAGAACTGGTATAAGAAATGAGGACCRTGTCAGAGGTCTCAGATACACAAGGGGATGTTGGGAGGCAGGAAAATCATTCCAGTGTAGGTAAGCGTGGTTGGGGAGGGGTGGGGGGGACCAAATGACTTTGCCACCATCTGCCTGGAGCCCACCGGCTCCGTCCTCTGCGGTGGGACAGGTGGATGGTATTCGGCCCACTTCTGCTGACTTCAGCCCCTTTCCCTCCCCCTCCCTGGTTTTACATTCCTTTATCTCCTGCCGGCATTGTTCATTCCCCTCAAGCCCCACACCGCTCAATTAGCTGGTGTAGCGGTGCGCTCAAAGTCCCAGCCCGGTCCTCCTCCTCCCTGTTCTCCCCAGTCCTCTTTTGCATCCATACCACCTGATATAGAACGGGGGCGGCAGGTCACAGGCATTGGAGTTGGGCGAACAGCAGCCTATTTCATTTTTTCATAGATGTATTTTGGCCCTCGAGCTCCGAGATGGAGGGGAGGGAGGTTGTCCTTTTGATTTTTAGAGGACGTGTAGGAAGGACTGCGCTCAGTCGGTGTGTTTGTGTGTTGGGATTAGGAAACAAGAGGACTGGTCTCCATTACAATTTAGAATAAAGCGGGTCTTGCCAGGTCTCCTCTTCCCTTCCTTCCCGTCTTCAGCTAAGTTTGCTACTGTGAGACCTTCTGTTTACCCATAAACACACTCAACACACACCTCCACCCATACAYAATGAGCCAAGGCACCGAGTCGTCTCGCACACTGCTGGGTGGCCGGACTCTCTGCACTCTCTGCAGCTCACTATCTGCATTCGTCACACAATGGCCGAATCATCTGACAACAACATAAACTTGATTTGAGTGAATGACTGATTAGTGGGCTTCTGCATGAAACATGAAAACCTACTGAAGAGCAGGGAAACAGCCAAACATGTAGGATGGTGACCTTTGAGGACCAGAGCTGAGAACAGCTGAACCAAACTGAATAATGTGGCGTTAGCTTCATCTCAGTTTTAACCCATCATCATCATCATCCCCAGAATTGCATTGAATCAGTTAAAGAAATGGCGACATGCTTTAGTGAAAAAATGTAATAAACAAACCTTTTTTTCAAGTAATTAGTAGTTTTTATGTCACAAACAACTTTTACTAGAATAGTGAAAAACATACAGTATTAAGGCCTTTGTGTTCATGTTACAATTAAGTTAATAAAAACTGGTTTGCTAAATTGTTTTAAGCCACTGTTACTCCTGTCGCCTTCAAATAAAGGGTGATTATATGATTACGAATTCCTAGTGTTAAAATGTATTTGTGTTTTTTTTTTTTTTTTTTGTACGTTTCTTCCAATCCCTCCCCTGCCCATGGACAGCCTATGAAGTACTCCAAGGTACGGTTTTACTCGACTTGCATGTCGTACGTTGCTTCAGCTTGCGTAGTGTGCACATGGATGGTGCTCATTTGTCGAAACGAGTCCTTTCGATGTTTTTGTCAAGCCAGACTTMATTGTTAGAGATGCCAATGGAGGCTATGATGATGAAAGTTTTGCTTGAATATCCATCTCGTTCGGATGTTTCCGTTTCTGCATTGTGTCGCTAAGTCATGAATTTTTGTTTCTCTGTATTTTCAGTTGTTTTTTTTTTTTTTCCTTTTAAGCAGTGTAAACTCTACAATCATTTTAAGTTGGTACCAAAAAAGCGAATCGCCAAAATTGTCTTGTGTGCTTGCAAGTGTGCGCCATGGGTCTCGTTGGTTGTTTTCCTGTTCTGCTTTGGCTCATCACTGTTGCGTAAATATTCAAGCATCTGTGTGTGCATGGTTTCTAACTGTGCCCACATACCTGCATCCCCTTCCCCCTACTTAGTCCAACACCAGGCTAAAGCTTGTACGGAGCCTGGCGGTGTGTGAAGAATCGTTTCCTTGTGCTGTTCCCGAGCCTTCAGCAGCACCTCAGGTAAAACACTTTCCTGAATAAGACAAGTGTGTTTCCATCTGAGATGTGCTGGTTGGAGTTCTGTGTTTTGCTAAACATTCATACCAGTAATTCCTGAATACTGCCATCAGTCTGTTTTTATTTTCATAAAATGGATAGAAATAATTCATCCATTCCCTCTTGCCTCCGTTATCATTTTTGATTTTAATCAACTGTGTTGAAGCTGCTGTTTAACATTCAAACCATGTACAACATTCAGCCATGACTTGGCAAAKTAAAATTTACTAGTTGTCACACTTAGTCTCAGCATTATCTTAAAAGTTGGCATGTCCCTCGAGGGAAGGCGTTTGATCTAATTATAATGTAACAGTTCATGTTTTTGGATTTACAACATGGGTTAAATCTGCTTTTCGAGTGAATTTTAAGTCTTAATGGCTTTTATTTTGAAACTCTTTGAAGTTGTGGTGTAGATATTCCTTTTATGAAAGACAAGATCTCGCTGGGCTGCAACTGTGAGGGACTGGTTTGAGACTCAAAACTCCAAGGAAATGTGCAAATTCTCATTTGGAATCACCCTGAAGGATGGAGTTTGAGCCAAACTTTGCTGGAAGTTGGCATAAATATCGAAATAAAAACCCGAGCACTCCAGATTTACAAAAAAAAACAAACTGAGATGAGATGCCTGGGACAGCTCTGATAATTTTTGAGAGAAAATTAGTTGACGCGTTCATTCATCCCCTTCCTCTCGCTACAGAGTCAGGTCTCGGGGGCAGCAAGGAGGTCCAGCCTCTCTTTCCACCTATTTCAGCTCTTCTGGAAGGACTCCAAAGTGTTCCCAGCTGACTGGGTGTCTCCTCCCAGTTGGGCCTGTTCAGAACACCTCCCCAGGGCGGCATCTAGGGGTCCTCCTTACCAGATGAACCCCCTCAGCTGGTTCCTCTGGACGTGGAGCAGCAGCAGCTCTGCTCTGAGTCTCTCATGGAGAACTGAACTTCTCAGCCTGTCACTAAGGGAGAGTCCAGCTACCCTGCAGAGAAAACTCATTTGGTCCACCTGTATCCACGATTTCATTCTTTCAGTGACTTCCCGAGTTCCTGACCACCAGTGAGGGTAGGAACGTAAACCGATCGGTAAACAGAGAACTTTTCCTTGCAGCTAAGCTCCTCCTTCATCACATTGGACCAGCACGGAGTCCACAATACTGCAGAAACTGTACAGTTCCATCTCTCGATCTCACAGCTCCTTCTTCTTTGCATATAATATGAGCCTGTTCAAAATACCACAGACAAGAGACCAAGACTGTGCGTCTCATGAGAAAATTGAAACCCTTGTGAGCAGTTTGAGACATTTTGGAAACTCAGTCTAGTCAGATGTGTCTTCAAGAAGTTTCAATCACCTCTGTTTTATTGTGCTTATAGAAAAAGATCGCCTATGATACTTAATCCACTATAATTTATAAAACTAGACATCATGATGGTTGTGGTAACAAAAAACTTTAGCAGAGATATTTGAGGGCTCCTACTGTTTTTAGATTAGCTGAACTGCAGTGTTTGGTCCAGCTGTCCAGGGTTTTTAACCCTCCGTCCCATGAGGTGGCGATATTTTCAACTGTGTTCCAAAAAAGGAAAAACAAAAATTTGTTCTCTTGAGATCCCAGAGCAATAAAGTTTGGTACCGTGTGTAGCAATATATTTCTCACTCACTAATTCTTTAAAACAATATCAGGTTTTTTTAGTCTAATCGTGGTTTGACTCCCGGTCATCTTTGTGTTGTGTCTTGGTACCAAAATGATGGAAGCATAATTGTCATTGTTTCCATTTAACGTATTTTACAAGACTTCGTTTAATACAAATATATTTAAGGGTATTTGTTTTAATTGAAAATGTTCACAATGCATTGCCGTGTGCTAGAACATGAGACATCTTGCAAAGACTGTTCAAGTTAATATTAGTGCATGCTATTAACATGTCTGGTAAATTTTTTTTTTTCCGTCTTGAAATAAAGTCAAAATAATAAACTCATGAGCAGAACAGAAACATTTGCTGCCATACGGGAAACAATTACTTCTTTCCCTTCCAACTCTGACCTTCATTATTTTAGTTTTAATTTACTTAACCAACTTTAATGACTTCAACTACAATGTTTAATTGTTTAATCATCATATGTAAAAGGATCATTTGTGGCAAATCTGCCAATCCAAGCCACAGTTATAGCTCAGTCTAACTTATGCTCTTTCCAATTTAACTCTGTCAGAGGAAAAAYRTTTCTTTGATCCAGTTTGTATTTTTAAAAATACTGTTTGAAAACATTCAACAACATATGGCAAATACTGCCATATTTTATAGTAAAATTTGTATTTGTTATTTTAATGTTGTCAGATGTTGGTTTATGTCCTATTGAGGATCTTCTTCGTTTAAAATCAAGGTGATTGTTTTTATTTAATTCAGGATAAATGGCATAAAAATTGAAGTTTAGTGCTTGTTAATTTTATAGTGGGCTTAAAATAAGCGGAATCTAATTTGGTGGAAGCTAAGTCGTCTACTAACAGTATTCAAAGTTAGCAAAAAAATCTAATCTAAGCTCAATGAGAAGCTAGTTCCACTATTAGCAGATTAGCAGAACTTGCCCGCCACTGATGAAAAATAATCTTTGTCTTTATTTTTCTAATACAAGTGCTACAATACTGTAGATGGCAAGAACGTCTAAATTAACCATATATCAAAACTCGCAAGAAATGTCTTCTTTGTCTTGAAGATTGGGACACAAATTAGTAAAAACTCATTTTTTCTTCACCAAAATGTTTTTCGTTTGAATCAAAAGTGAAAAAATAAGTCATTTTAATTGATATTTGGAATCATGTGGATGGGAACTAATTCTGCATAAAAATGTTGAATTTAGAATTAGGATTTTGTTCCCTTTCATAGAAGCTCAAGTTTGCCCAATCAGCTTCATTTTTATATAAGATTTAGTTTCCCCAAACTGCAAAACATCTTTTCCTTTAATAATAATTTGTCTTGACCCATTCTCTGAAAATTTTGTTTATTTTGGATGCTGTTTTATATGTTTTCCTTGGCCTTTCTTTGACACAAACCTCTTTGTTCATACGGTGAACGGTTCTATCTTCTAACCTTTGCCTCCATCATGTCAGGCAACCCAGCTGGATGTAACCTGCACCGAGAAGTGCTGACCTCAGATCAGGTTTTCTGTTTTGGCTCATTAAAGCCGAGCAGATAAACCTGCGATGCTTGATTAGCAGCTTTTGTCTGACAGCTATGATTAAATACCTGTCCGTGCACAAAAAAAAAAAAAAAACGCATCACATCATCAAAACAAGTGTGGCGCTCCAGCAGCTCGCCGGTTGCTATTTGCCAAATCATCGCTTCTTTTCACAGCGTTTCTCCAGGCAAAAACCCCTACCACTCAAACTTTTTTCCATTACTAGAGACTCTGCCTCTTTTTATTTTTTTAACCCCTCACATACACATTTACACGCAGGTGAACCAGTTCCAGGCATTTCAGCCAGTCAGCATGGAGCTCCAGGACCGGAGGGCGGTGTTATTCCCACAGCAGTCTCGCGCCGTCTGCACTCACACGACGTCCCGTATTACCGCCATCAATCATGTCGAGGAAATTACAATTTCCACACGTCAGCTACAGAGAGCTGTGGAGTGCTTTAATTGAATACTCCTGATATCCTCCCCCCTCTCCTCTTTGCTTCTGTTATTGGTCTCACAGTCCTTATGCGGCAAACTAACCTAGAGGGGCAAAATAACGCAATAAAAGAAAGAGGAGGGGGGCTGAAACACATTAGTGCCATGATTCTCTATCAAACTTTGATTGTCACATCTGAGCATTTCCCATTGTTCGCCATTTCACATTACTGTCTTCACTGTCAAATATTAAGGACTAACAAAGGACTTTATGGATCCGCGGGCTGTCCGAGAACCTACATTGTATGCTTGGCTGTCAGTTCCAATCCACAGCCTCATAGTCAGGGGCCTCAACGCTCACCGTGCCGTTATTTTTTATTTTTTTGTTTTAGACTGACAGCACACTCATTATACATTCTCAGGACCATCATTTTCCCGCTGTTTTTCCCTTTATCTTGAGGTAAATGGGTGTCAGGAAAGAAATGAGGCGGCGCACAACAGCTGCACACCAGCCCGGCGGTTTCTGCGCGACGCGGAAGGGGCGGCATTATGCGACGAGCGCCTAAAGGGAAAAAGTATAGAAAATAAAAATTAGAATCCACGGCTTTGACGAGCTCACACAAACTCGCTGTCACTTCCAACGTGATCGGTCTCGGGGCTTGTCCCCCTCCTCCTCCTCCGACTCTAGCACAAGCAATTAGTCAGTCACGTCTTTCATTTGCATTTTTACATTTTCGCGTCCGTTCTGAACGACTTCAAATGAAGGAGGATGCTGCATCTCATTATCTGGCTTCACAGCTGTTACGGGGATCAAACCGGTGACCTTTCTTGGTTATGAGCTGCTCCTCTCCCACCACTAGCTGGTTTCTTTTTCATTCACTCCTCCTCCTCCACACACACAAACACAAAAACACACACTTTTAACTTTCCAGACTTGTGTTTAATCCACTTACAGTGCAGCGGGAACCCCCTCGCCTCCCCTCAACATTCCTTTCAGCCTTTTGTTGAAATGCCTGAAAAGCTAATCAGATACTACTCTGACTAAAGTGTCCAAAAAAAAAAAAGAGCAGCGCTGAGTCAAACCGAGCCCATCTTTAAAAAGATTTCACCCGGAGATCCTCAAGTCTTTCTGGCCAGATAGCACCTTTTTGCTTTAGAAAAACATAAATTTGCAGTTGGCTGCGGATTACAGCTAACCCCTCATTCTGTTGGATTTTACTGAATGAAATCTGCTGTGCTGTTTAATTTTAGGCTCAGATTCATGTTTTATTCAGGCGGTTTAATAAAAACAAGCTAATCTAGAAGATTAATTGCCATAGCRAATTGGAATTCATGGACGCAGGCGCATTAACGCTGGCACGGAAAACGGGCATCGGCGATAAACATGGAGAGTTTCTTAAGTGTCCTACTGTGGCTTCATGCCTTTGTCTAATTAACCCGGGACCCGAGGCAAGATCATGCACTTATTTAATGCCTTTTCTCTAAATCAGGCCCTCGTGTCTGTCATCCAGAAGAGACAGAGGTCACCTTTAATGTTTGACACGCTTGTAAAATGTCACCGCAATTCTTTGTTGTCTTTTAAAATTTCTCGAAGTGGTCAAATCATGGCGCTTAAATAATCCTCTTCCAATAGGATGGCTTCCTCCCACCATCTTTTGAAAATGAAGAACGCGGCGCAAAGGACCAAGCTGAGAAGGAAGGCGGCTGCGACAAGGTGGAGAAACCGGAGAAGGCACCAAGAAAAATGCTGTCAAGAGGTGAGAAATCCAGTGAACAAAAAGGAAATGTTTTAAAGGGATTTCCTACTACCATCACATGTTGACCTTTTATGTGTTATTTCTCTATTCGACTAAAAGTTGTTTGACATGTTAAAACTATTATTCTGGTGGTGATGATGTAAAATAGATTACAGTTGAGACTAAAACACAGTCAAGGCTAAAAACTGTCTGACAATAAATTTATATTTTGTATTAGTTTCTATGTTCTGTACAATAAATGAGTTAAAACAATTAAATGTAATATTTAGTAAATTAGCTCTGAAGTTAACGCTTTAAATCACAATGTGTATATATATTAGCTTGGAAGCTAACACTATATTTATCACCTCTAAAGCTAACATTTCATGCAATAGCTTGGGTGCTAATGTCATATATCGCCATATATATTGGAGCTAATGCTATATTTATTAGCTCTGGAGCCAACATCATAGATGGCAGTATATATACTAGGTAAAAAGCAAATGTAAAAGCTATTAGGTTTAAGCTGAGGTGAGGCAGAGTAAATAAAATGGCAACATCCGTTTGACTATACTTTTTGATTTTTTAATTTATGAAAAGTGAACAGCTTACATTATTTTTATAGTTGAAGTAAAGGTTTTTCAAATGTTTCAACTAGTCAAGAGATCCCTTTTTAAACGTTTTTGTGGTAAAAGCTGACATTTTGCCAAAACGCTGGCCAATACTTCCTGTGTGGCTTTTATTGGGGACAAAAAATATATACCGTTAAAGGCCTATTATTTTTTTAAAGAAATAAATTTCACCCATTGTTTTTCATGAAATATTACCATTATAAAAGTTTTGGTTAAATCTTTAAATGGATGGATTATGTCGTCTGCTATCATCTACTACCATGCCAAATATTGGCTCAATATTTGTAAMATTACCTGATTTATAACCATTTGAGTAGGCTAGCATCAATTGGCTGTGGTGGCTGTGGTTAGATTGACTTCACCAGAATCCATCCACTGTTTTGAGATATTGTCTCACAAACCAAACAGGCTAACCCCAACAGTTAATGTCGCAGAATTTGTTAGCCCCCAGGATATGTTTTGGGGATTACTCTCAGCTACTACCACACCCATTTTGAACTCATTATCTGTAAAACTGGCTGAACTGTGGCAATTTATAATTTTTACTACAGTTGACTAAAGCATTTATTTTGAATTGTTGACTCCAAAAGGTTTTAGTTTTTCTAAGGCCAATTTTCTGTGGCAGCCATCTTGAATTGGATTGCCTCAGTTGTAGATGTACATCAGATTTTCACATTCTCTGAGTTTT